TGACGATGATGACGATGATGGCGGTGTTGTTGTTGATCTTGATGATGACCACGACTATGACGATTCGACATGTGATGGTGGCGACGATGACTATGAGGATGGTGATGTGATGATGGCGAAGATGACGTTGATGATGATGATGATGANNATGATGGTGATGATGACGACGATGGTCGTGGTGACAACAACAATGATGTTGTTTTGGCCATTGGCGTGATGAAGACAGGATTGTCCCTATGTTAACTGATGTTGTCATGCTCGCTGCAATGTTAAGTGTCGCGGGCGGTTGTATCTGTATCTTTCGACTTTCGATGCGGGTATTGTGAGTGCTTACTGTTGCTGCAACAATTAACGGGCTGAGAACTGCGATTAAAGTCATCGGGGTAGCTTTTGCACTGCTACTGAGTACCCTAAGCTTGTGAATAACACAACCAACATCATCACTGCTTTGCTTTCCATGTGCCGGGATGGCAAGTGATACTCTGTGTTGAAGATGCTCCATCTGCTCAATCCCGTGTCATTCTTGACCATATGCCGACTCACGCTACTACACATTAGCTGATCATTAGCTCTTGTAGATACGTCTTAGGTTGAGAGATGGAGGGGCTGATGGCCATCAGGCAGAGGGCGCCTAGGTAGGAATGAACCGGGTCCTGGGTCCTGTGCTTGGTGTTGCAACATGCAATCGTATACTGTACTACAGAGATTCCACAGTACATTCCCGGATCTAGACACTCCTCCGGGGACTGCACTCGATGACCTGCAGGGTCTGGCCCACTACCCAAACACCGTTGTCGCGGCAAGCCTGCTGCAGTTTCCAGGATCAGCAGAGAGTGAGAAGCCAAGCGAAGCTACGATCATAAGACGGTGACCTGCTTGAAATGAGATACGAGCATAATGAGGGGACGACAGAGTGATGCAGTAGTCCTCCACAGTCACTATGCGACCAGGCTCTCAGATGACTCAACTCTAGGGTCCAAGAAGGGTATCAGGGATGTGGCAGCATTTCAACGGTAGGCTTCGCCCGAAGCCTCTTGCCCCCAAAAATCCCAAACCCCAAAGACCTTCAGCCTAAACTAAACATATCATTAACGTATTGTGCGAAACAGGGGAATCCTGTGGGAGGCAGAGAGCATCGGGCTCAACGCAGCATGGAATTCCGACTTTTCCCGGTGTTGTCCGGAAGCGCTTCGGTCCGTATAGTCTTACGTCCCCAACACCCAAAGAAAAAGGTGAAACTTTCACCATCTCTCAGAATAAGACTAACTTCTCAGAAGACGCTCATAATAATTGAATATTATTGCATCGTATATTGATAATTAGTGGCGTAGCACCCCTCAATCTGCTCCAGTGCCGTGAATGTGCCTGGCCTCCACTGGTGTTCCTGCCTCTTTGAATGCTGACAGCATGTCCTTGTTCTGGGCTGCTCTCTTTCGGTACCTTAACTGATCATGTTTTGCTGAGATTCTGCGCGAAGTCCAGGCATATCAGGCCATGCGCTGTTTCTGTGCGCTGGCTGTCTGCTGGACACCGAGTGCGTGACTGCCCCAGCGGTGCCACCTCGCGGATCGCAGCCAAGCTTGTTCGCTGACTACGAAGGGCATTTGCCTCCCGACATCTCTAAACACCACTGGTTGCGTAAGAATATTCTCACTGTTGCATCACAGTTTCGTCCATTCTCGCTGGCACTATACTTCAGTACCTTCAGTGGGGCTATAAGCATTTTTCAAGTATAGTTACTTTGTATATCGAAAATAACCCTGGTGATTAAATCCAATGATCCCTTAAGCCTTAAACCAGCTTAAGGAACCTTTTTAAGGAGCCCCTTTACAGGAACCCTATGGTCCCTAAATCCCATGACCCTTTAAGTAGCCAAGTCTTGCGTCGACGCCATGCCCGGACGAGGGAGCCTTCTCCTCGATCTTCTTCTTCACGCCCACAGGGATGCGAGGGAGAGTCTGGCACAGAATAGAATAATAAGCAGAAATACTGTTACTAATAGTCGTAGCGATGATAAGAGTAAAAGAACTAGTGGGAGTATAGTAGTAGCAATAGTAATGACAATGACATCTGACAGCTCGACCGGATGTCGCACACACGGCTCTGGTAACACGATGTCAGAGGCTGTTGAAGCAAGCTCCCACAATGCCCGCGAGGAATGGCGTGCTGGAAGGCAGCAGTTCATCGATGACTCGTGCTACATCCCACTTAATTAGGATTAAGGCTGAAACTCGCTGCATTGCGAGGCCCCGAGGTCCCGGCCGAGTAGTAGTATCGCTCATCCAGAAGCAGGGACTGCACAGTTTGGGGATTCCAGGTGGGGTTTAGGGTTTAGGGTCTGCAAGCTCAGCGGTTCGCTCTAGGAATGCGCGAATGCAGCAGCTTGACGGCTGTGTCAACACCATGCGAACCGCGGAACACGTGTTCGAGCATCTGCCCGAAGCCGAAAATCACCGGCACCCACTAAAAAGATAGTGTCCCCCGAATTTGATTGTCAGGCATGTGCCCCTTTAAGTGGATAGGCGTCGCCCCAACTAAAAACGCATACGTCAGTTGTCCCGGGAGGGTATTCTGCAGGTGCTGCTATGCTACAAGTTCCACGACTCCTCTTGGCATTCATGTCGCAGCCCAGCATCACCAGCCTCAACATACTCGCCGATGGTGACGACGAAGCCAGGCGTGGATTTCGAGGGCTCAAACCTGATCGGGGAATGTAGACTGCGAGCCCGACGAGCCAATAACAAGGGCCTGGGTGCAAGCATGAGCGGAAGTCTGTATGGGCAAGCAAATGGATCGTGTGCGTGTCTGCGTGCTTCGCTTGACGCAAGCCGAACCTGAACTCTGCAGAGTCTAGATCCAAAGCACTCTTGAAATGGACCCCGTGCTCTCCTCTTCCGTCTGACAGACTAAGAAGTGTGCAGACATTCAACACTCGAGCCACATCACGTGCAGCAGTTTGCAACACTAGCAGCAACACCACCACCACCGCCGCCA